GGGAGGCACAACCGCGCAGCTGCTGTGGAGTCCAGTGTGGTGGTTCCGCCGCTGAAACTACAAAGGGGATTGCCGTACGATCCAGCCACTCTACTTGTGGGTATACACCCCAGAGTGTTGAAAGCAGGGTCTTGAAAAGCTATGTGTACCCCTGTGTTCACAGCAGCCTTCTTTACAATAGCTAAAACGTGGAATCTACTCGTGTACAGGTGAATGGATAAGCCACAAGCGAGGTACGCATACAAAGGAACGTTATTCAGCCTTCGGAAAGAAAGTCTGACAAAAGCTACAACACGGATGAAACTTGAGAACCTTATGCTAACTGAAATAAGCCAGACCCAAAAGACAAATACCAAATACCGAATGTTTCCACTTGCAGAGTACTCAAAACCATAGAGACAGAAAGTAGAAGGGTGGATTGCAGGGGCCGGGTGGGGGGAGGGGAAGGGAGGGAGAACGAAGCATTGTTACTAAATGGGCACAGTTTTACAAGACGAATCGTTAGGGAGATGGATGGTGGCGATGGTTGCACAACATGATGAATGTATTTGGTACCACTGAACTATATACACTTAGAAATGATTAACATGGCCCTGGCTGGTGCAGCTCAGCGGACTGAGCGCTGGCCTGCGAACCAAAAGGGTCGTCGCCACTTCGATTCCCAGTCAGGGCACACACCTGGCTTGCAGGCAAGGTCCCTCCAGTTGGGGGCACGCAGAGGCAACCACACATTGATGTTTCTTTCCCTCTCTTTCTCCCTCCCTTCCCCTCTATCTAAAAACAAATAAATAAAACCTTTTAAAACGTCCTTTTAAAAAATGGTTATGATGGTAAACTTTGTGTTATGTATATTTTACCACAATAAAAAATTGGGAAAACAAAGACAAATGATCAACCGCACAAACAAGCTGGGTAGGCGTTAAGTGGTGGAAAACAAAATTTTTTTGTATGTTTTAGTTCAGAAGTCGACGGACTACAGCTCCTGAGCCAAATTTATCCAGTTGCCTGTTTCTGTACAGAGATTTTACATTTGGTGAAAAATATAAACATAAACAAATAACCCTGCCCCACAGAGCACATTTAAATGACTGAGAAACTCTCATTTCGAAAGGCCAGATCCTCTTTCCTGTTTCTCTGCGTGGTCAGGGGTCTTGGCCACAGGCCATGGGCAGGTGTGAAGGAAGGAGAAGATGCATCCGATTTTGCAATCACCACTGTAGCAGAACGTGTGCTAATTACAGCCCTCTACGCTCAAATTGCTGCAGCTTAAATAAACTGCAAACCAGAAAAAAACAACAGACTGGGCTTTGGATTGGGCGCTGGGCACATAAATGGAACCTAAATTTGCTCTATTAACCTTTAATCACATGAAAAGCTCTTGAACCTGGAGGCAGGAAACTAACTGACTTTTTAAAATCGTTATGTTTTGAAGTAATTATAGACCGACAGGAAGTTGCAAAGCCAGTACAGAGGTCCCAAGTTCCCTTTGCCCAGCTTTTCCCCTAGTTGCATCTTAGGCAATGCCCAACAGTTACATTTCATAAGATGCAACTGTTGGGAGAAACAGTATCAAAGTCCCCAAACTGACATTGGTCCAATGTGGGTACATAATTCTATGTCTTTTTTTAAATCACCTGTGTGGATTTGTGTAACCACCACTGCACTCAGGGTACCAAGCTGCCCCCATCACCATGGAGATCTCCCTCCTGCCACTCTGTGGTCACACCCACTCCCTCCCCACACCATCCTGGCACTCACTCATTCGTTCTCCATCTCCATCTTCTTGGGGAGACTGAGCTTTCCATCCACATTCTGATCCTGCCAATTTTGTGACCTTAGACGAGTCACTTCTCTTTTCTGGACTTTATCATCTCATCTATATAAATAAAACAAAGCATTTCTCTCGAATTTCTACATGATGATAGGATCACAGAATTCGGCAGGGATCATGAGAAGGAAAATGGGTTTTCTAGTGAAATAAACTAAAGAGGTGGTTTTTAAAATCATGGTAAGATGGCTTCTTTACTGTGAATGCTGAGCCCTTTAATAGGCTAGGGTGAACTGTGATCTTCCACTGTGAGACGTGTATGTAGCATTTCCCAAATTTGTTTGAACACTCTCCCTTTCAAAATCTTCCAGCTCTGGCTGGTGTGGCTCAGAGGACTGAGCACAGGCCTATGAACCAAAGGGTTGCTGTTTCGATTCCCAGTCAGGGCACACGCCTGGGTTGTGGGCAAGGCCCCCAGTAGGGGGCGTGCGAGAGGCAACCACACACTGATGTTTCTCTCCCTCTCTTTCTCCCTCCCTTCCCCTCTCTCTAAAAATAAAGAAATAAAATCTTTAAAAAATTGTTATAAAAAATCTTCTAGAAGTAGTCATTTAGGAATTACCCTTTAAGATATGCTGTTTCAGAGGGTCTCTGAGGTGCCATTCAGAAGGGAATGTGTAGAGCCATAGCCTCTGTAGCAGATTGAATTGTGTCCCCCAAAAGACAGGTCTACCCAGACCTCTGAATGTGACCTCATCTGGAATAAAGGCCTTTGCGGATGTAACTAAGGTAAGGATCTTGAGGTGAGACCACCCTGGAGCAGGGCGAGCCCCCAGTCCCATGAACGGTGCCCTCAGAACACACACGGACGCACAGCAAAAGGCCGTGTGAAGACGGGGGCAGAGGTTGCAGGGCCGCCCGAGGCAAGCATTGCCGGCAGCCCTCAGAAGCTCCGAGAAGGCACGGAATGGAATTCCCTCAGAAGCTCCAGAGGGAACCAACCCTGTCAACACCTTGATTCAGACTTCTGGCCCCTGGAGCCGTGAGAAAATAATTTCTGTTGTTTTAAGCCAGCCAGTTTGCGGTGATTTGTTATGACAGCCGTAGGAAATGAATTCACCCTGTTAAGAATCTTTGGGATTTTGAGGCAGGGAAGGGTGTCCTTTAAGTCTTCCGGCCACTGAGCTCCTTGCACACTCAGGGTCTTTGCACACACTAGGCCCTCTGCCATGAGCTCTTTTACCTTGTGCGTTCATGCCTGTCTAGTTCTCCTGGCACTAGCTCCACGTCAGCCCCTCGGGCAGACCGCGTTGCATGGCCAATCTGAAGCAGTTCCCCGGCCCCCCTGAAGTTCTCTAAAACCACAGGTGCAGTTTCCCTTCCGTAGCCCAGGCCGGCGGCATCCACAGCTCCCCTGTCGGATTGTTTGATTGGAATCTGCTCTCCACGGGCACAGGAATGGTGTCTGTTTTGTGGGCCTCCTTTACCCAGCTCCTGGAATAATGCCTGACATATAAGAGGTGCTCACTTAGTTGTCAGTGAAAAAGGAGAAAGGGCAGAAGGAAGGAAAGAAGGAAGGGAGGGAGGGAGGAAAATAAAGAGCACAATAACTCCTTTTGGGTCGAGGGCCTGGCATCAAACAGATGGCACTGAGGGGTGTCTGCAGGGCCTGAGAAACTCCTTTCCTGGGCGTTTCTCTTGCAGGAACGTTTGGGCTTTGCTTTGGAGGTGGCCATGACCACAGTGGTGGCTGCTGGGAGCGAGTCAACAAAGAGAGACGCCCCCCACGCACTAGGCATTGTTCTTGACTCTGGACCGGGGAGTGAAGGTGGAAAATCCCCGTCCCTGAGGAGCACGGTCCGGAGAGGGAGAACAGACTGTGAGCACGCAAGCACGTAAATAAATAAGGCGGCAGCAGAGCTGGGACGAAAATGAAATAGCATTGTGTGAGAGAGCGGGGACCCGAGGGGCCGCCCTCTGCAGCGTGGCCAGGGCAGGCTTCGTGGAGGAGGTGGCAGCTGGAATTGGAGTGATGGGAAGCTAGCCATGTGAACATCGGGAGAGAAGTGGGTGGGGAGAGTGGGTGGGAGGGGGGTTTCCAAGCAGAAAAGCCATCAAAGGCCCGAGCCAGACTGACGTGGGACACTCGAGGTTCAGAGAACCGGCCACTGTGGCTAGAACGCAATGAGAAGGGGGGAGACGCGAGGGGCTGCGCCTTGTGAGTCCCAAAGGCCATCGTCAGGGGTTTGGGGTTTATTCCAAGTGCCTGGGCAGCCACCATAGACCTGTAAGCAGGGGAATGACACGCATTATCTACGCTTCATAGCAGTGATTTTCAACCTTTTTCATCTCGTGGCACACATAAATGAGTTACTAAAATTCTGCGGTACCCCAGAAAATATATTTTTTGCCAACTTGACCAAACATAGGTATAATTTTAGTTTGTTCATACTGGAAGGCTATTGTTGTGTTGGCTGTTGTCATTTTTTTTATTTGACAATCTCAGGGAAAAGAGGTCAGTGCCCCTGACTAAACAGTCAGGCATTGCATGGTTTAAACATTCTTGCGGCTCACCACTGTGCCTCTTGCAGAACACTGAACATTGCTGCTGTAGGGAAACCTCCCTGGCTGCAGTACATAGGATGAACTGCAGGGGGCAGGAGGAGACAAGTGTGGAGACGGGAAATTGGTTAGGATGTCTTTAGGAGAGCCTAGGCTAGACTTCTTGGGGACTTTGTCTAGGGCTGTACCCATGCAATGGCAAAAAGTAGAGCCTATTTTGGAGGCAGGGCGAGGAGGTGAGGGAAAGAGAGAAATTAGAATAATTTGGGGTTTTGGCCTGAACAGCTGGCTGGTGGTGCCATTTATTTATGATGTGTCAACTTGGGAAGGACTGGATTTGGGGTGGGGTAGAGGGAAATTAGACCTAGTTTTGGCTGTGAAATGCTCCTTAGGCATCCAAGTGGAGGTGATAGGTAGTAAAGTATAAGGTAAATATATATTAGTCTGGAGATCAAGGGGGAAAACTTGGCCGGAGATAAAGATTTGAGATGGTCCGTGAAGCCACAGAACTGGGCGGGACCCACTGGCGGAGTGAATGAACGTAAAGACGAGAGGGCCAAATAGGAAACCTCCTGGCCAATTATCGTTTGGAACTGGTGGAGGGGGAGGGAAAAGAGGAGGAGCCTAAGGAAGTGCAGCCCAGGAGTAGGAGGAAAACCAGGGAGGTTCACAGAAAAAGTTTTTCATGAAGGAGGCAGGAGCCAAGTATGTCAAATGCCACTGAGAGACAGCAAAGGAGGCCAGAGAGTTGAACTTTGGCTTCGGCAAGATGTAAGTCACTGGTGATATGGGCAAGGGCCACTTCTTGGAACAACAGGGACAAAGAGCTGAGGGGAGCCAGGTGGAATCAGACTGGGGAGGAGGGAGTGGGACAGCACATGCAATGACAGTGTCAAGGGAGGGATTCTCTAAGTTGGGTGACAAGGTGTATTCCTGTACTGGACATAGGGCAAAGGCCCGGTAATGAGGGGGCGTGGCTGAAAACCGGAGTACCTACAGGGGTGAGGTCTGCGGAAGGCTCAAGGGGGAGGGACCCAGTTGGCAGTGTGGGCCGTGGCTTCCACTGTCTCCAGAGGTGGGGGCCAGGGGGAGTTTGGGTGGTTCTCTTGCGATTACAGACCCTTTCTTCTCTGACTTCTGTGGTGCCGTCACCGGCTGAAGCTGAGGTCGGGACTGTGGGAGACCGAAAGAGAGCAGAAGGCGTGAATTAGTCTCTCTCCAGAGGAAAAGAGCAAAGCTGCTAAGCCGTGATGGAGGCCCCGGGGCCTGCTTGGGATTCAGTTTTGATTCTGAAGTGAGTTTGGTCACACAGGTGCACTGGTTCTTGAACGGAAGTTGATTTCAACCGGAGTGTGGGGTTTGCCGGTGAGTATGATGGATGGAGACCAGGGTAAAGGAGTTAGGTACGGGGCAGGGGGGTGATCATCAGGCTAGGTCAAGGACTCCAAGCTGGATGAGGAAGGCAGGGAGGACAGGGCTGACGGGGCTAAGGGGCCAAGGCCGGTGGCCTGGAGTGATGCAGACACTGGCCCGCAGTGTCCGCGGCATTATGAATGAGACAAGACAAATTCACACGGACTATAGAAATCCTGTGGAGAAAACGGGATGACACAGCCTCTCTCTCAGTGAAAGAGAGGGCCAGCCGGACCCTTGCCTGGACAGATTTTATTGGGTTTAATTTGCATAGGAATACAGGGAGTATATGGAAGGCTCATCAATCATTGTCCAGGCAGTAATGATCAAATAGATAACACTCAAAGAACTCTGAGGGCTTATTTTGAGACAGGGTCAGATAGCTAAAGGGCCATGAAACTTTGGGGAAACAAACTCATTTCATGCTTGGACTCTTATCATTTAAATTGAGGGTATTAGCAAAGCAGGTTTCACAGGATTTTATGTATTCTTTCTTAGGCCTGATCACTCCAAGGAACCCGCCCTTTCCAGCACAGGGTCGCACCCACCTCTGGCATTGTTTCAGGCTTAAGTCAGGCAGGGGGAGTAAGGCAGCCAAGAAATTAGGAGACTTCTGGCAGACAGAATGAGGACTTAGGCTTTGTCAAAGCCAAGGGGCGAGGGTCTAACACCCCCTTTTTCCATAACTCCCCAAGTCCTTCCCTGAGGGCCCCTTCATGACCATGCCTGTCTTAAGTCATCCCTCCCTTGAGAAATCTTACCCATCATTGGCTAACCAGTCATCCACCTGGGGCCAAGCAGGGTGAGGTGAAAGGGGGTGGAGGTGGTGCCCCTACAAGGAAGATAAGCATTCTCTCTTAAGTGGCTATGGTCCCAAGGACCTTTACTCAGCTATGGGGGGTTACGGTTTCTGAAACCAGGCAGGGCGGTTCCCAACACTGGAGGTCTCAGTGGGCTCTGGGAATTGCTGGCGCAGGGCTGATAGGTACCAGAGTCAGAGGAATAGGAGGTGGTGTTCAGGGCCGTGGAGGTTTGAGCTGATCAGGAAGATGACAAGATCTGGTCTGTCCTTTGGAGAGTGTGGCTGAAGGGGAGTGGATGAACCCGCTGACCTGCTTTGCCCCTCCCATCTCAGGGAATGGAGAGTACATCCTATCACAGCTGGAAGGGGTAAACATCTTCACTGCACAGATAGGACACCCAGACCAGGAGGTGCTGGGTGCAGAATCGAAAATGCCGGAAGCTGGAGTTCTGAAGCCCAGTCCCAGGGTGAGGTTCGATTCTTGTGGGTGTCGTTCCCCCAACTTTCCACCGCAGCCGAGCTCCGTTCTCCTTCCTCTGCCTCTGGAGCATAAGGCCCTCTCCCAGCACCCCAGCATGCCCCGTGCCTCACAGCTTTTCTCGCACTTCCCAGGCCTCTGGGCGGTCCCCTGCAGACTGAAGTTCAAGTCCACAACCACAAGGAGCACCTCCTCATGTTAACCAAGCTGTGCGTATCTTTACAGATGTCTGCCAGCAGACCTTCCCAGATTTACTCCTTCACTCACTCAGGTTATTCACCGTGATTCTATCTTTTCTGATTCCTTCATTGCATTTGGGCTGCTAAACCAAGTGAAAGAAGAAAATTCTCAGTCATCATGAAATTGCTCATCCACCAAACCAACCAGCCAGACCTCCTACATGTGCTAAGTGCCGGTCACGGTCCTGCATAGGTTTCAGCTATGGCATCACTGGTCCTCACCTGCCTGGAGGTGTCCCGGCTGTCCCATGTCCACTGCGGATCTAGTCTCTGTGTCACATATTTGCCACATGTGTCACGGGCCTGAGTCCTTCCAGCTTCTTCCTCATAGCAGGGCTGATAACACAGGAATTGCCATCGAGCAAAGTTCCCAGAATGAGTCTTTATTAACTTCTCAAGCTGCCTTTGTTTTCCATTAAAGAAATCTTTTTTTATATATATATTTGCAAAAGCCATGCTGCTTATGGTAAAAACACAAACAATGACCAAGCGTGCTTCCTTTCCTCCATTCCACAATGCCAGCCACCTCGGGCAGTGGGCAAGTGTGGTTCAGCTCATATCCTTCTAGATCCTCTCTACACATTTGCGAAGGGAATGCACACATAACATGTGTGATGTAGTGTGTATTTGTTGTTCTGCAACCTGCCTTCTCTCTAATAGCAGACGGAGGACGTGGTTCCAGGCTAGCATCTCAGACCTGCCTCTTCACTCCCAGGGCCGTGCAGCCTCCACAACATGGACAGACGAGCCCGGGGCAGGTACCCGCCCCTGTCAGTGGGCGCCGACCACCAGCTGGAGTGCTGTGGCGGACACCTCTTTTAGCTCTTTTGTGTTTGAGCATTTCTGAAGGGTTTCCCGAGAAGTGGAATTGCTGGGTCACGTGCATTTAAAATTTTAATGAAAACCCCATGCCAGGCACGGTGCCAGACCCCTAGTAGGACCTTTGTGACCATCTGCGGCCTCGTACTGCTAGATGGCACTCCAGGAAGATCACACTGTGTCCACTCCCACCGGCAGTGAACGGAGCCATCGGACTGGCCATACCTGCCACCAGGTCCCAGCAACGCTTGGGAGCGCCTGCCTGCAGGCTGCTTGGCCACTGCGGGAGGATGTGAAGGCCCCGTGTCATCCTGGGTGGAAAGAAGGCAGAGTCCGAGCTGCAGATGGCCTCCTCCGTCTCCTCCAGGCCTGCAAAGCCCATGGCTTAACCTGCTCCCGCTGGGGCTGGAGCTTACCACGGCGAGGGCCACGTCAGCCCTAGGACCTCTCCCACTGGAGCCAGCCAGGTGTACAGAAAGCACCGCAGACCTTCCTTCTGACCCCCCCCCCCACCCCCGCCCCGATAAATCCCTGAAACTTTTCTGACTGGGCCCACTCTCCCACCATCAGCTCTGTGTTGTCTGTAACCACCGCGCTCCCTCCAGGCCCCGTCTCAGCAGGAACCCTCTGCCAGAGAGAGCCCCTGTTCCTGGTCTTCTGGGGGCTGACTGTGCCATCCCCCCACCCCTGCCCCTGCCCGGGCCCTGATCCCCAAGGCTGGGTATCACTAGGAGACCAGGAGAGGCCTACAGGAGCCATCCGGGTGGCATCGGGTCTACCACATCCTCCCAGGAGCTTGTTTGCGGAGGAAGGCCGGAGCTCCTGGGCTGCAGGGGAGCAGTGAGCGCAAGGCAGGGTTGGTGTGCAAAGGAGGGGCCCAGCCTGAGCCCCCAGACACGGGCTGGGGGTGTCTCTCTCTCTGCATGCACAATGCCAGGCTCCCTGATGCCCTGGGCAGACTCTGCTGCAATGCTGAATGCTCCTTTCCTCTTTAGGGTTAACCCAGCAGCCCAAACCACCCGGGACTGGGGGGAAAAAAAAAAAAAGGCAGATCTGCCCAGTCCGCCCTCCAGGAGATTCCAGGGTGGGGCTGACCCAGGTCTCCAGGAGCCCCGCCCTACAGAAGGCCATCCTCCCACTCCCCACCCCCAGGGCAGCAGCAGGAGGGTAGGGCGTGGAAGCACTCGGCGGCCCCTCCCACCCCATCCCTGCCTCCCTGCCTCGGCTCTTTAGCACCCTAAGACTTCAGGGAACAGGAGGTCAAAGCACCTATAAACATCCTCTCCCAGAGGGTGGCCCAGGGACGTACTGTCTTCCCAGGCTCTTGTGTCCCTATGACGACTTCCTCTCCTCCCTGCCCTCCCTCTTCCCCAGCTCATCTCCCCACAGAGCCACAGGCGGACTCCCAGCAGCAATCAGCTAGTTTAGTGAGTACACATGTTGTCGGGCAGGGTGGGGTGGAACGGGGTGTTCTCCATTCAGGGAGAGCTGGAGGTGGCTCAGAGCTCAGGCAGTCCGATCTCCCGCGGCATAGCAGCGCCCTTCCCGTCTCAGAGCTGGCTGTCCAGTCGAGATTTGTATGCCTCCAGCTGCGGGGCTCTCTCCACTCCTCAAAGTAGCCCATTCTACTGTCCGTCAACTCCAGTTGTTGACACTATTTTCCTCTTAGCAGCCTCTAACTTGGGCTGTGGGGGTGGTGTGATGGATGGGCACTGTCACTCCAGCCCAGACCCTGGGACGAGAGACACAGTTGGTGTGAAGCAGGGGCAGGAGAAGCAATAAGTTAAATCCAAGAAAGGCCGGAGATGTAGCAGGGCGGGCGGGGGCAGGTCAGGGGGCCCAGGTGTCTCTGGCTTGATCCAGGAGGTGTTGGGGGGGAGGTGGTTGAGGCAGGGTTCCAGGTGGCAGGCGGCTCAGAAGGCCGGGTTGTCGATGCCCCTGGGGACCCCAGAATATTCTTGAGGCCTGATGCTGTAGGGAGGGGGTGGGTCCACGGGGGGCAGGTCCAGGACTGGCTTCAGAATAATCTGCAGGAAAAGCAGGGGACACAGTCACCTTAGGGCCTGGCAGCCACCATTGCCCCCCACATGCCGGCGGTGTTCCAGGGAAAGGGGGCAGCCAATGCGGCCGCAGAGCTGTCTGTGGGGCCAGGAGGCCCCCTCCCCCCGTCCCGCTCTCACTGCTGCCCTAAACATCGAGACAACAGGGAGACGTGGAAGGCCGAGGAGCAGAGTAGGATTTAGCACAGACACCCACCTCACTGTAGGGGGGCGGGGGTGCAGAGGGGGGCACCATGATCCTCTCCGCAGGGGTGCTGGGGAGCCGTTCCGGGGGGCCCGTGTGGACCGTCTCGGGGGGGCGTGCCTGCTCTCTGCAGCTGCGGCAGAAGTGCTTCACCAGGCCACAGATGCACACGATGGGCATGAGGATCAGGAAGATGATGATGAAGACCCTTGGGTGGGGAGCAACCAGCATCACCCTGAGTCTGCAGGCCACCCCCACCCCACCTCCCTTCCCCTTCCTCCTTCCCCTGCACCCGGCCCAGGGCAGGAGGCCTGGTCTGTCCTGTGTGGCCCAAGCCCCCCGGGGGGCTGTGCACTGAGTTGCTGGCCCTGGGCTCACCTCAAGGGGCCAGAGAAGAACTCATACTCCTGGCAGCAGCTGCCACCGCAGCACTTGAATCCAGGAGGGCAGCAGTTGCTACCACAGCATTTGAATCCTTCAGAGCAGCTGCTGCGGGTGGAGGCAGAGAGAGGATGTTGTTACCGAGGTGGGGAGGCAGAGGGATGCCAGCCTCCTCAAAACGCAGGCTGCACTCAGGGAGTGAGCCGCATCCCTTGCGGGGTGAGGGGAGGGGCCCTCTGGGCTCAGTGGGAGGAACCTGGAGTTGGGATCAGAGCCTGGGTTCCAGGCGCATCTCACTTCTGGCACTTCTGCCGAGTAATGCTCCTTCCTAGGCCTCGCTTTCCTCATCTACAAAATGGGCAGGTATGGGGACAGTGTAGTAGAGGAGACAGGGGGCGCAGGGGGTGTCCAGGAGCTGGCCCAGGAGGAGGAGCCCTTGCTGGGGCCCAGAGGGTGGGAAGGGGGCGGGAGAGGGTGTTCCTGGCACACCCAGTGCTGACTTGGACACTCTCCTGCCCAAAGGCCACCCTTCGGCCCTTCACTGTGCTCAGGCTTCCTGGCATTTCTGTATTCAGGTGGCACCCTGATTGTCCCCTCTCCCAGGGTCCTCTCCGAGGGGAGGGGGCCTGAGACTGCAGCGAAAAGGGGATTAGGCTTTGGGAGGACCACGGGTGAGAAACTCCCCCTGGGGTGACTGGTGGGGGGCAAGAGGGGGCAGAGTCTGCTTCTCCAGGTGGGGGAAGGGAGGGCTGGTTTCTGGCTGGAAGGGGAGTGGGGGGGGGATGATGGATGAGGTGCTCCCTCCCAGGAAGGCAGGCAGGGCAGGTTTGGGGTGTCTCCTCCCCAGTTTGGAAGTTATAGCCCAACCCCCAGACTTACAAGAAGAAGTCACACTTGGCTGCAGCCTGTGGAAGAAAAGAAGCAGAGGTCAGGGGGCATAGACTCAGATGCTGCCCGGGTACCTGACCACCAGCAGACCCCCAGGGGAGCAGTGTCTGCCCCCAGCCCGCTCTCCACCGCATGGCACCGCATGGCACCGCACGGCACGGCGTTCCCCAGGGCAGTGAATGGAGCCCTAGCTGCCACCTGGAGGCCCCAGCTCTCCTTCCTCTCCCTACCACCTCCCCCACGCCGTGTTTACCCTCCCCAGGTGTGCAAGCTCATGCCTTCTGACATCTGCAGTCCAGGGTGCCAGCAACTCTCCCGCTGCCCACCGGAGTCGCCGCCCCCCCCCCCACCATGGTCAAGTTTCTACCCACAAAAGCCTGAGTGCCTGCCACCTTGCTGGAATTCCGTGTCAGGGGTCTCTGGGCCCTGGCCCTCAGGGACCAGCTTCAGCCGTCCTACCCTTTCTCTCTCGTGCACACACACCCATCGGGAGTTTCCTGAACACACCTGGCTGTTTCACACCTGCATGCAGGGGCAGGCCCTGCTCCCCAGGCCCTCACGGTCTGCTGCGCCCTGTTCCTTCTTCAGATCCCTGCCTGGGGTGGCGGGGGTAGGGGGTCCTCTCTGTCTGAGGCTGCCTGGACCCTCCTCTCCAGAGCCGGCTCCTCTCTCCCCACCTCTTCTGCACTAGCTCTGCGGGGCATGCAGGGTATCTGTCCAGAATTTAACCCAATTAACAGCAATTATGTAAGCCTTGCTGGGAACATTTTCCTGTGAGGTCTCTGCTAACCTGGCCTTGTACCTTCCTTTCTGACCACTCCCCTTCCCTCCACTGTGCTTAATTTTTCTGCATAGCTCTCACTAACGTCTAACATACTATATGTTTTTCTTTATTTTGTTAATTGCGTGTTTCCAAGGCAGAGTGTAAACGCCACAGGGCAGGGATTTGGGTCTGTTTCATGACTGTTGAACCCCAACAATATTGGCAACGAGCATTCATCGACCCACTGATTGCCTGGTTCCATTTCTTCCTGGCCCTCCCCGGCCCGGTATGGGGGAGGAACGCAGGGACGGGAAGGCAGTGGGGAATGGGAGGTTATCTGTCCCCACAGCTTCCCTTCTCTTGAATATTTCAATAACATTTCAGTTGCTAATGACAACAGTAAAGCTAAGAATACCACCGACAGCCAATTAATAGATGCGTTGACTCCCCCTTTCCCATTCAGTCCCGTGTGAGTGCCAGCTTCTCACAAGCCCTGGATGGTGGGGGCTGGAGCAGCAACTAATCCCTGGGGCAAGTGGGCCCAGAGCGGGTGAGGGCCACACAGCACTGGGAGGCCCCGGCAGAGCTGGGGACAGATCAAGGGCTCCAGACACTCGGTGGCAGCCCCTTCCCCTTCAGATCCCAGACCCTGTCCCTCCCCCATCTCCTGGACCCCAGCTAAGCAGGAGTGGTGCGAACAGGTTTAATAAGTTTGTGCTGAGTTTCTATTTGGTTGGGGTAGGAGATCTCCCAGATTCTCTTCCTCCATTATGCCAGGGGCGGCCTTGTCTGAGCTGGCCCAGAGCCTGAGTCCTACCGAGTGCCAGGATGATCCTGGCGAACCTCAGCTCACAGCCATGGGCTTCGTAACTGCGTTTCGGTCAATGACAGGCCGCAGTGTAACGGTGATTCCTTAAGATTGTGGTGGAGCCGAAACAACCCCATTGCCCGGTGACGTCATCGCCATCCTATGCACTACTCACGTGTTTGCTGCTGTGAACAAACCTACTGCACTGTCAGGCGTGTAAAAATATAGCACTGGCAATCATGCGTGGCACATATTTGATAATCATGAAAAAGGACTGTGCTACCGACAGTCACTAGACTATGCTTTTTATCACTAGGGTGTATTCTTTCTACTCACAAAAGTTTGCCGTAAGTCATAGCTGTGTCACCCCAGAGCAGCCTCATTACATCTAGCGTTTAGTGGGTTTCTTTTTTTTTTTAATCCCCACTCGAGGATTGATTTTAGAGACACAGGGAGGGAGAGAGAGAAACACTGATGTGACAGGGAAGCATCTGTTGGTTGTCCCCCATACCCGCCCGACGGGGGATCGAACCCACAACCTTTTGGTGTCCAGGACGATGCTCCAACCAACTGAGCCACCTGGCCGGGGCCTGCGTTTCTTGAATGAATTATTTTCTCTTGTGCTTGATTTAACCTTGTATTGTTTTAGATATTTAGTCCGCTTAAGGGTACAGTGTGTACAAAGTCCACAGCAGTGTCCCAGGCCTTCACATTCACTCACCATTGACTCACTGCCTCACTCAGGGCAACTCCCAGCCCGGGCAGCTCCCTTTGAGGTAAGTGCCTTATACAGAGGTGCCAGTTTTAAAATTGTTTAGATTGGATTCTGATTGCATCCTTTCTATGTTTAGGTACACAAACGCTCACCACTGTATCGCAGCTGCCTTCGGGATTCAGCACAGTCGCATGCTGTGCAGGCTGGCAGCCTAGGAGTGACAGCTGTACCACGGACGGAGCCTTAGGTGTGCAGTGGGCTCTGCCGCCTAGGTTTGTGCAGGTGCACTCGGCGGTGTTCCCACGATAAACCATCTAGCAATGCGTTTCTGAGAACGTACCCCCGTTGCGAACCACAGCACGCCTGTAAGCTGTAGTGACAGGTGCACTGGGGATATGAGCAGCGCCTGCCCCCCGGAGAGGGTGGGAGGAATCAGTGAGAGGATGCTCGCGCAGCGATGGCACAAACTGGTGGCCTAGTGACTGAGGAGGACCGGGGCTTCAGGGGCCAAGGCGGCCTGTCATATGAATGTGCCCTGTCCCGGGAAGCCCGCCTGGCGCTTCCCTTGGATCTTAGGCAGAAGTTAAATGTCTGACTTCTAGACTCACAGTGGTTTCCAGGATACTCCCCTGCCCCAGGGCTGGAGAGACCCTCCCTATCACTGGAGGTGTGCGAGATAAGGCCGTGCCTGTCCACTTGCAGAATCCCAGATTTCAGAGGTCACCCCAGCCTCGGGTCAGGCTGCCCGATCAAATCCTCCCACAGGCTGGAATCCCCGCCCAGATCCTAGAAAGGGCCTCAGGAGCCTCCTCTCTGCTGGGGCACACGCAAATAAACAGTCCAGAGAAGGCCAGGACTTCCCCAAGGTCACCCAGCACTGGGGGCACAGAGCTGGGGAGACAGGCTGGCCTGCATCCAGACCTCAGTCCCAGATACTTCCCGCTTTCTGACGCAACGGGAAGGAGCGGGAAGGTGCGGGAAGGACTATTCAATGCGGGTCAAAGTCCCCACTCACAGACAGGCGTCTGTGAGCTAGGCGTCACATGGTGGTGGGCCAAGGCCAGTGTCACCACATGGGCCCCCCAAGGTGAAGGGACTCCGGTCTTTTCAGGGCCTCCTTCTGTTGCTCCCTCCTCTACCTCCCCAGCAAAACGAGAAAGGAAGTGGCTAATCGCCTGTAGTCAGGAGGAAATCCTAACATTGGAAGGGGGTGACCCGGCTCCAGAAGCAGGCCCCAGACCCACCAGGGTCCGGCCCTGAAACGTCTACAGATTTACCTCCCAAGCACTCACCTGTTGGAGGCCGGCCAGCAGGCCGAGCAGCAAGCTGGGGACGAGGCCGAGGACCCAGGCGTCGTACATCCTGGCGTGGGGGCCACTGAGCTTCCGTGTGTAAGGAGAGGAGGGGAAAGGCGGGGGAGGCGGGGCCGCGACCTCTCCCACGTCGCTCCACCTACGGGGTCCCGCCTCGGGATGGGGGCGGAGCCTATGCACCCGGATGGGCGGGACTTGGGGCAGGGAGGAGCCGGGGAGGAGATGGGGAGAGGTCCGGGTTAGTTGTTGGTAATTATAAAGTAGAAGAGAGTAATTGAAAAAAAATTGTGGGGTCAGTTCAAGACTGCTAAACTGCCTCTTCTCAACCCGCAACTACTGCTCCTACCCTAACTGGCCCCAGGCTTAAGGGACGGGGTGCTGTGACCCGCAGGGGATTAGGGGGATGCAGACAGAGGGAGCCGGGCCGCTGGAAGTCCCTTCCCACCTGGCCTTCTTGGCAGAGAGGGTGGGCAGAGGTTGAGGGGAGGAGAAGGTTCTGGAGTGGATTGAGGGGATTGCATGGGGAGAGGTGTCACCACCCCACCCCGTTTTTTTGTTTTGTGTTGTTTTTCAAAGGATGGGAAAGGCGGCCTGGTTGACTTCCGGGGGAAGAAGAACAAGGCGCGCAGTCCCGGTACAACCGTGTTCCCCCACCTCCCTTGAAATTCTGGGAGGAGGCGTTGGTACACATCTTCCTTTTGACTACAGGGGCAATTAAGGAACCAGGGGTGGTCAGAGATTTGCCCCGGAGTTCTAAGTGGGGCAGAGCCGCAGCCAGGCGAGGTTCCGCGCAGGCGAGCAGTTCCCTCGGATTCCTGGGAAGACCCCGCGCAGGAGGTCCCAGCCGCGAGCGGAGCGAATCCCACCCTCCGCGGCCGCGCCCCAGCCCTCGAGGCGTGCTGTGCTTCCCGGGTCCGGCCGGCAGGTGGCAGCATCGCTCAACCTGAGGGAGCGAGAAAAACGCGGGGCTGGAATCTGGGACGAGCGGTTGGGTCTCCCAAGCGCCCTCCCCGGGGAGCTGGCTGGTGGGCGGGGTGGGAGGCCGTCACCGAGGGTGATAGGCGCAAGATGAGAACAAGACTCCCAAACATGGATGAGACTAGTGGAGACACTGCCGGCGCTGGAGAGATGGAGCCCCGACGCCTGGGGAGGGAGCGCAATACAGATGGATGGTGGGTGGGTGCTGCTCCTTGGCCTGGAAAAAGCGGGGAGGGCTCCAGTAGATGCTCAGTCCTTAGGTCGTCAGACGTCTCCCGCCGTTCTCATCTGACTTGGGCACTGGAAAATACCCCGCGTTAGTGTGAAACAACAGCCGGTCTCCTCCCGCCCCTTTATCTTGTTCTCTCACCACTTCCTCTTTATCGCTGTTTCTCATCTTTCCCAGTCCTGTTATCTCTGTTCTGTGTTTAACTTTTCCCTGCCTCCTCTCCATTTCTCCCAGCCCATCTTCCTGTCGCTTTCCCCGCTGTTTCTCTCCCTTTCACTGTGTCCCTCTGTTTCCCATCTGTTTCTCCTCCCTTGCGTTTATTAATCTGTTTGTCTCAGTTGAGGAGTCTGGTTTTCTCTCTCTGTTTCCATGTGTTTCCATGTCTCTATATGAGTTTTTCTCATCAACTTTTTGGTCTCTCTCTCCCAGTATATCTCTCCTTGCTCTCTCCCTCCCATCTCTTTCTCTGTCTGTTTCTCACCATCTCTCTGCCCTTTTGGCCCCTAAGGACAGAATCTTTCAGTCTCCTGGTCCAAGGGGAATTGGGGTCTGGCCCTAGAGAATGACCTCTCTATTCGAATTTCCTGGTGACACTGAGATTGGAGAAGGGGATGTGCATGGGGTAGGGGCACCTCTTCCCTCATGCCCCTGCACTTGGCTCTGGACCCAGCCTGCCCCTCTGCTAAGGGGGACCTGGTGCAGAGTGCTGGAGTCTTCTCCCATCAGTGCCCATTCTGCTGCCTCCTTAGTGAAGTCGTTGCTAACTTGGACTTCCAAGGGCCTCTCATCCCTACCCTGGCCTTGCTGCATCAACACTCAAGGCCCAGTGAGGAGCTTCTCTCTGCCACACCCCCTGCCACTGTGCCCAGGCCTGGAGCCCAACAGAGGTGTGGCCCTTAGAAGAGAGGGAGATGGGTGAGTTTAGGGGAAGATGGTATCCTGGGGAGTGAAATGGGAGTGCTGAAGAAGGCATGGAGGAGCTTGAGGGGTAGGCCTGGGAGGCTTGGAGAGCTGAGGAGAAGGGACCACGCAGGCACTAGTGGGCAGGGCAGGGATGGGATGGGCAGAAAGGCAGGAGGCTGGCCTCAGTCCCCTCTGACTCTCTGGCATTCACCAGACACAGATCCAGAGTTGCCAGGCAAAATACAGGATGCCCAGTTATATTTGAATTTCACAAAAACAATGAATAATATTTTCAGCATAAATATGCCCCATGAAAAATGTGAGGCATATTTATACTAAAATGTATTTGTTGTTTATCTAAAATTCCAATTTAACTAAGTGTCCTGTATTTTTATTTGCTAAGACTGGCAAGGTTACCCACATCCCTAAAATGTCATAGGACAGATATCTGAGAACAGCCGCTCCAGCCACCGGCCCACAGCTCCCCAACGGGAAGGCAAGTCTCATGGGGGCCTCTGGGACCTGCCTCTGGGTCCCCAGTGTTTTTCATGCACCAAACCGCCCTTCTGTGCTCCTTTCTGCAGATGTGGGGTGAGGGGGCTTGGAAGTGGGTGGTCCCAGCCCAGGCTGAGAACACTAAGCCCTGTTGTCAGCACCCATCATGGCTCTCAGGGCCCCGGCATTCTTAGTGGGTGAGGTCAGGTGGGGGTGGAGGCCCCAACAATGGGGCCGCAGACTGAGCAGACAGGGTGCTGTTCCTGTGTAGAGGCAGGAGGGCCCTGCACGGAGCCAGCATCTTCTGTTCGATACCGAACCCGGCAGTGGGAGGGGAGTGTCTGCACGCATGCGTGCATACGCTTGGGCATGCGGGGGGCCGGGGAGGCCGGGTCGCCTCATGCATTCAGTGATCCCCTCTAGATTCAACACCACATTCCATCTGGGATTTCCCAAGAGCAGCAAAGTCCAAATGTCTTCATACTCGCTCAGCCCTTTCACGAAAGAACGAGCTGATTGTCTGTGCATCCTTCAAGGGCCCAGCTGGAAGGGCCTGGGAGGTCAGCTAGTCCACCGGCCCCTTTTCAAAGAAGCAAGCTGGAGTTCAGCGGGGTAGGAAGGCCAAGCCACATGGGACACTGGGGCTGAGTCAGGACCAGAACCACACAGGTCTCGAGACCTCACACCCAGCAGCAGCCTCACCAGGCAGCTGCTGCTTTGGATGGGGAATCCTCACGGGGGGCCTAGTGCAGCCTGACTGAGCCCAGCCCAGGCTCTGGGTGAGGGGAGGAGCCAGGCGAGCTTCTGTTCCTATCAGCCCCCTTCCACCACACTGTGGTAGACACCGGCTTCCATAACGACGTATGGCTCTGGGCTGGGATCTTTCTTTTCAAAGTCCACAGAACGTTCTGTTCTAGCCCAGCTCCACCTGGAGGCAGAGTGTCCTGTCCTGTTGGTAAGTGTGCCCCTTACTGTGGTGTGCTGTGTGACCATAGTCATGAAACTGAACTTCTCTGTGCCTCTCTAAACTCATCTGTGAATGGAGTGAGGGTGGATAACCTACTTTATCACCCAGCGTCATTATGGGAATGAAATAAGCCCCTCAGTGCCTGGGATACAATCATGGTAAATAAATGTTATTTAATAATAGCATGGAATAAATGGTTCATTCCTGGCATAACTAAGAGGCCCCAAGCCTCTTCTCTTCATCTCCCTTAGACGCGTGAGTGAGGTGACGGGGAATTAAGGGAGCTTTCCACCAGAATGCTGGCTCGCTGGCCCCCTCTGCTGTCCATTCAGTGCTCTGCACCCACCAAGGGCCAGGTCAGAGAGGACCGGTGACCTACTTACCTCAGACGGTGACTTGGTCTTGACCACTCCTCCCGGAAGGCCACAAGGAACTGGATGTGGATGTGGCGGTGGTGCTGAGACCAGACATTTGAGCAATTCCCTCTATTTCTGGTTTGTCCCCCCTTCTGCTCCCCCACTGCCTGCTGATCGCTGCCTGGGCTGGCCTCACGGTGAGTACCCACCCACCTCTGCCTCAGGTTGAGCACTCAGGGGACCTGGGAACTCTGCTGGTCACAAGTGTCCCTGTTGCCACTGCTTCCATGCAGTGTGGCTCCCACGGCCATCACAACCGTCCTCATAAGGCTTCCAGCCTAGTCTCCCCATTGCCCATGTGGGGGCATGTCGCTCTCTTGCTCCCTAATTTCCAGAGGCTCCCCACTTCTGCCTGAATAGAGCCCCATCTCGGGGAGACCTTTATGGTCCTTCATGACCAGCCCACACCTGGCCCTGCAACGCACTGTCTGTCCTGCCGCCAAGTTCTCCAGCCACATGCCTGACCCTTTCCGCTCCCCTCCTTTCCTCAGCTGGGGCAGCTCTCTCCACCTGGAACACAGGTCCCCACACCCCACCCTAACAGATTCTCACCCCACCCTTCAAGGCTCAGCTCAAATACCACCTCCTCCAGAAAGCCTTCCAGGACTTGGATCTTCCTGCAAGAAGTGACCGTTCCTCCCTGCTCGTCCCCACCTGAGCGTTCTCTCGGGGCCTCTCTCCCTAGAAGATGTGTGTGCACAGCAGGGTGTTTTCACCAGGCTGCAGGGGCAGTTCCCATTCAGCTTTCACTCCCCGTGGTGCCTTGTTCCAAGTAAACACTGACTCTCTCCTCACTGAGCTGATGCTGGTTGGAGGCCTTCTGAGGTCAGGGGTCAGATTTCCCCAGGAGGGTAGGAAACAAATTCCCAAAGTCCTTGGTGGAGGGGGGGGGCTCTATTAGGGGGGACTGTTCCTGACGGATGGACTCCCCAACTCCACTGTGTGTTTGAGGGATCCACATCTTCTGCTTCCTGCCCCTCCGAACTGGGCAGTACCCCCCTAGTGAGTCAAATGGCTCTCTGGGGGTCGAGCAACTGCCCTGGGGCCCGCTGCAGGGAAAGCTTGGCTCATTGTCCACCTTCCGGGAGGAGGCGGGATGCATGCTGGGTTGCCAATAGGAATTCTTGGGCGTGGGACCAGGG